ATCAGCATCCCAATTTCCTGCTAAGGACTTAGACGGCTTGTGTTGAACGATCCTATCTTCCGAGGAAGAACAAGATGCGCTTGTACTTCCATGTGGAGAAACCTCCCCTATGATAACACCAACACCATTGTACTTATCCCAACCACCCATGAGTTTGGGCGCAGGGCTTCTAGTAGCTATGGGAATTCTATACGACTGACTAACTTTTATTGGACTCTTCTGCTTTTGAGCGGAAGTATTAGAAAGCGCCGGTGATCTAAATAATGAAGTCCTACAAACAGATTTTAAACGTTTCGTCGATGTAGAAAACTGGGAGTTTCCATCCCCATTCGTTTTTCTTGTCGTTCTCGTAGGAGTGCTAAAGTCAAGCGCCCTTATGTGACTGCTTCGTTTGCGCGGAGTGGACAAGCTTAATCTATGATTTTTGGATCTACTTTTTAACAAAGATTTTGGAGTGCGTTTAGTAATAATATCGATGTTCTTAGGTAACTGTTCGTTTCTACTATTTATCGAATTGCCCACATTTTCCATCACAGGCGCTAAATCAATGTCCGAAAGATTGTGGGTTTGATTGATTTTGCTACAATTAAATTTTAAATATGGAGAAAATCCGCTATCCGACAGGCTGATGTTTTCCTCCAAATTGATCATAGGCATATTGGTGCCATCCAAGGACGTTTTAGCGCTCGTCTCATTGGCATAAAGCGTTATAGATTCACCTCCAATGATTTTATTGATTTGCACCGGTTCTATTGGACAATTTAATACCTGTTGATCAATATTGATGGTAGGTACTGTCATGTCAGTTTGGTGTATGGTTTTTAAACGTTTATTCACATTATTACCGTTTTTTGATTGTAATAATTCCACTTGATTCCCTGGATTGTTTGGTTCTTCTATTATAGATGACAATGTCTTGGTTACAGGTAGTTGTTGTGCCACATTTACTGTCCTTAAATATAAAGTTTCCACGGTTTCATTAATTTTGCTTGGATCTTTTGGAGCAATCGGAATAAAACGCGAAGTGGAAGTTGATGTAATAGTTGATGAACGATTTATCAAAAGATTATCCATTTCATCTTTCGAACACACTATCAATGTTGGCATAGTCATGATTTCGTGTTCTGTTATAGGTTGAATTGTATTGGCCTGGACAGAATTAAATTGATTATCACTAGTTGCTTGATCGCGTTTAAGTTTCGTAGGTCTTAATCGCTTTAATGTGGACTTTTTAACTTTAGGCTGTACATTGCTATTTGCAGATAATGTAACGTCATTAGTTTTCTGTATATCTATTTCTGCTAACGGCTTTACAGCATCATTCTTATTTACTATAGAGGTCATTGTTTGTATTTTTTGTTCATTATCGTCATTTACAGTTATTAATTCTTTTGCATCAAGAGTCTTTTTGTCACTGTCAGACACACTATTAATAATATTGGCATTTATAATACTCAACACTGCGGCTGCATTTTGATCTTCTAAAGTGTTCCGATCTTTCTCTTGATCTTTCACTTTGTCGACTTCGTCTTCGACTCTGTTATATTGTTGTCTTGAAGAACTACGAAGTCTGTGTTTCAAAGGAACATCCGTTGTGTCGTCCTCCGTGATTACTTTAGTATTCATTACCACTGGCTCTGTTAAGTTAATATTGTCCTTATCTGTTTCCATTTGATTCTTTTGTATTCTAAAAATATTATAATACTTTAAAAGTATAGGATTTGATTTATAATGAAATATCCAAAGAATATAAAATCTATACACACTCATTAGTAGATTTTTGGCTTAACTTTCCTTCGCCCTCTTCCTCTGGACTTGTGTCTGTTTCTGTATGCACCCCAATGGTTTCAGCGATAAATCGTTTGAACACAGGATCAGATTCTGTTGTTTCAACGATTGATTTAATAGCATTATTGATCTCAGCCATAAATGAAGTGTTCCCTTCACCGATCATTGATTCATTCAAATCGTCTTTCAAAGATAAGTCTGTAGGGATGATTGCTCTGTTGATGTTCTCTGCAATACATTGTTGTAATTCTTCACGATTCAACATTTCTTTCGTTAATATCTGAAAATGTATGTAAACATGCATATATAATATATTTAATGATATAACGTTCTGTATTCATAGTGATTTAGAAAGTAAATTTTTATTAATTATAAATTATGTTATTGTGTAAATAAAATAAATTGTGTAATTATTTTAATGTAAATAATATAAATATACAAGTAGAAAATTAATCACTTAGATGCTTACACTAAGATTTTCAATAGGCACATCATTAGATTCGGACTCTGATTCAGGTATCTCATAAGGAATAGTTTGGACTTCTGTACTAGAAAAACTCAATAATTCTTCTGTACTTGTGGCTGCAGTATATTGTTTAGGTATTGTACTAATTACATTGTTTTCTTCCTTTTTTTTATCATCAATGTCCATTTCGCAACTTCGTACACTTGAGACATCGTCTATACGAACAAAAATAAAGCTATAAACTTGTCTATTAACTTATATAATTGATCTGCTGTTTTTATAATTATACCTAAACTTATCCGAGTACTATTATTTCTGTTATGTGTAGCAATACTATTTGTACTATTATGTTTATCGGAATCACATTGTCTGTGAAGTTCCTGTGTGAAATTGTCATCTCTTTTCTCTGTATGAGTAGCATAGTCTATCTGCTTTAACAAATCAACATTTCCAGGCAGACTTTCTAACGGTGTTGTGTCAATATTATGACAACTTGCTGCTATATTTAAACATCAAAATTTTGTATTATATAAGATATTATAAACATTACAAATAAATAAATAAAATAAACATACGTGGGCTTATGATTTCAGATTGTTGTACTAAATTTAACTGAGATTTAATATTGCGTTTAATTCGTTCACTATTACTATGGTGCCTTTTCCGTAAATTACTTGCAACAATAGGTGAGCCACTTGATGTTTGTGTATTGCTCTGTAAAATATGAAAAAACATTATGTCATATAATTTAAATATTGTAACCTATGTTTATATGCTCTATATTTATTGTAGTTTTTCTTTTTAGAGCTTGTCCAAAATTGCCTTTCCATTATGCTAAATATGACAGATTTCTGCAAATTTAGAATACTGTGGAAAGCAATTAAGATAATGATAAGTTACCTGTGAAGGTACATTAATATTTACAACAAATCGTTGACCACGTGGCTCTTCTACAAGAAACTTCAGTTGTTCTATTAAATCTCCACAATGCTTTAACTGTTCACAATCAGTGGCTTTGCTTAACCGTTCTTGAACTATAAGAAATAATGTATGTTTGGACACAAGCTAAATATTTGCAGAATATATCATCTACATCTATTTATTATTATTACTTAATAAATTTAAACTAAATATTTAATTGGCACTATTATTTACTCATAGCACTGATAGCTGATAATTTTTCAATAATATCCATTAATGTTAAACCATTAACTCTGGTGCTAAATCTCCTCCCACAAGAAAGTACTGTACGGCATTCTTGCAAGTGTGGAGATGTTTCTAAAAACAGTTTAGCTGCTTCAGTACATTTTTGATCTTCCAAATAACCTAGAAGCAAAAATTTTTTAACAGATTTACAACATAAATTCAATCAACCATACAATTTGATTAGTACTATTAAATAAAAACTATATATAAAATAAATCTAAAGTATAAAAACATTCCTACACAATACATGAAGAAAAGATCTCTTTGTTGTGCTTTCTATAGTGTTTCTTCCATCCTCCCCAAATTCGAGCATATAAAAAAACATAGTTAAAACAAGCAAACTCAAAGAAATACACTTAACAAAAGTTTTTCTTTTTCTATTAAGGAAACTTTAGTCGTACAATTACATAATATTTATAATCTTAATATATCAATATTACTCTCAAATATAAAAAACACTTTGTCATATTATTTGTTTGCACATTAGATGCGAAGACATTAAGAAGACAATATAATTGCGTGAAAGAATTCGATGGCATAAAAGAGATATATTCTTTCAAGCAAAGGCAGCAAATTGATTATGACAGCTAGATAAGAAAGACTACAAAGTCTCCGAGGGATGGTATTCTCGCGGGAAAGGTTACACATGATATTTTGGTTTTGATTCTATTGGATCTTACCGAGTACCAGTCGCGCGATCTCGGACGGTAGTAAAGCTTCCATGATTGCGTCGAATATACCTCGCAATGCCCAGGAAATCTCATCGAGGCATCACGATTTAAGGCAAACAATGCTTTCTCTCGAATGCGCTATTGCGTCTCAACAATGGCAACAAATGGCAAACATGCCAAACATTTGTAATGCATTGCTACCAACGTGTAGCTTCTCGCTTTTCTCGAATTCGACAACTTTGATTGACAAGTTTAAAAAATGAATACGCTTCACCATTCTTTTTTCAAAACGGAACGAGACTGTTTGTTGCGACGTTATCGCAATTATCGTTTGCAAAGATGTTTAAATTAGAGGTTTGGAATTTACATCGACTCGTATTTTCGCTCGCTCTATTTAAATTAGAATATTCATTTTACGTCGTCAAGCACAAGACTAAGTGGAAACGCAGAAAGAACAACAATGTTACAGCTTGAGAGAATGTCACCCTGTTTTTTAAACTTATATTTCGCGGCTGCATTCAAATCTTTCATTCATATCATCGCCATTTTTACAATTGACAAACAGGAGCCGCCGCGCCGAAAGAAAACAATAGTTGGCATCATGGAGTAAAAAGAGAAGACCAAACCACTGATGAGATACTATTAAAGACCGACATCCTTAGGCCGGAATCAGACTACGCATTGAAGATTGAAAGATTGAAGTTTGACCAATCAGAACAAAAGGAGCGAAAATTTCTTTGTCCTTATTGGTGAAATTTCATTATGCAATGTCGTTGACATCTGATTGGTCGAAATTTGCCCATCCTCATCATGTAATGCTTCACCTTTCTGATTCTACATGACGCACTTTTGTTATTTGCACAGTTTGTGACAAGAAGTCTACATACATGATGCAGATTGTAGATTGAAATGTTATCGAAGAATAACTTAAAATATTTCTGCCAAGTGATTTTTGTTATCTTTCCTACATAATTATTTTTTCTAACGTTTACTTAAGGTACATTATAATTCCTGTAATTTTTTCGTCTACGATTGTACTTCCAAGTCATGCTGTCGTCTGTCTAATTGCTCTTAAACATCTATTATTGGAATATTTGATCGTGTTTTTGTTTATCAAATATAAATAAAGGATTTCTGCTTTTACAATTGAGATACGATATGATTTTTTTTTTTTAATAATGAGATCGATAATAAAATAAAGAAGTTGTCAACAATGTATATATCAACAGAATATTTAACCTAAGTAGAAATATCCTAATGTAATTTTTTTCTTCTTTGCACAATGAATAAAAATTTGTATAAAGAGTATTGTGATTGAATTAGATAGAAGTAAAGAATTACATATATCTATAATATGGGCGACTTTTTTTATTCATCGATTGATCAATTGCATTGTAAGTAAATATAATTTTGTTATGTAAAAACTGCATTTGCACATAATATGATTGATCAATCGATAAATTAAAAAACTCGTTCTACATATTGAATATAAAATACAATTATAATAGAAAATAACAGATTTGATTATTAAATTATAAATACAGAATTATTTATGCTGATTATAATCTGTTAACTTATGTTTTAACAATTCTTACAAATTATAGCATAAATTAACAGAATATGGTCAGTATAAATGATCCTTGAGAGCCAAAGACAGATGGTTGTAATTACAAATGTTTTATATTTCTTAGGTACTTGAAATGGGTTGGGTATTAGAGGTAGCCAAGATGTTTCTCTATTTATCGTTTCCTGTTGGAATATTTCACTATGTCAATCAGCCAGCCTACTTTGATAAGTGGGTGATACAAGCAAAAAAGGAATATTTCCCAATTCAGAGTAAACAGGTGCATAAGGAGATGGATGACTTTATTCACGACTTCAATGCTAAAATTCAAAAGAAACATTTGGACTCTATGGAGAGACAGAGTAAAAACAAACAGTGAAGAAAATATATTGTAATGTTTTCAATTGTGATAGTAGTAGTAAAATTTATTTTTTTGTACAAAATATTAAAATACCTTTGGATAATTAGCAGTTGGTAAAAATAAAAATATTGTTGAAGACTGCTTTAATTCTCATATTTTTCTATATTATTATAGAAAAAAAACTTATATAAGCTTTGAAATTATAGAAAAATTAGCTTATTTTTTTTATTTTTTTAAGCATCATATTTTATAAAATGTATTTCTTTGTAAAATATTTTTATTGTAACATACTTTTTATTAAGATGTTTATTATATAAGATATTTCTTATTATTTAAGAATATAAATGTAATTGAGAGTACAATATAATTTTTTTATGTTATAAAAAAATTGTTTTTATGTTTTTTTTTTTCGTTTTTGAGACTTACATGTTTTTGAATATCTTTTTAATGAATGTGTATTTTATTGCCAACAATTTTATGGTGTATGTTACGAGAGATATAAGTTAGTCTAGGTGGCGTTTGTCATATACGGAGCAGAGAAAACGACGATACGATACCTCCTCTAGAACGAGAGTCCAGAGAATCACTATGCTAGTAACATCTGTGTAATTAACCCGCATGTCATTTCCAATAAGCGAAATGTTCCGCTAATGTAAACAAAATGGTTTAAACATTTGAGACTCCGACAAAAACACACCCATTGCCGTCCCTCCAGGGTGCCGTGCGTCTGTCATCATGTGGAAGTGCCACAAATGCGGCAAACCTGTTTACTTCGGTAAGTTTTCGCGATTTGCGATTTGTTGAGGCGATGTACTCGCTCTGACAAGTATCATGCTACTCACGATTTGGAGCAGAGCGATCGATTTACCTCGTTACTAAACGTCATGGGTATCAGTGCAGAACACTCTGCTGTGCTTTATATTGTGAATAAAATGAAGAATCGAAATTGTCTATTGTTATTGCATTACTTTGATTATTCATAATATTGAAAATCAATATATATTTGTACAATATTGTAAAATAACAATAAGAGATCTGTACTGTCATTAATATTGTAACTCACAGAGAAAATTTATAGTAAATTGTTTAGATACATAATTCAAACAAATATATCAACTTTTTAGCTGAACGTAAACAGTCTCTGGGATATGATTGGCATCCAGAATGTTTGCGATGTGAGGAATGTGGAAAGCGTTTGAATCCTGGACAACATGCAGAGGTAATGTAAATAAAGCATTTATTATTCTTTTAGTTATAAATTGATATAGATTATGTGATAATTATAATATATTTTGTTATTGTACTAAAATTAGCACAAAGGCGTGCCTTATTGTCATGTTCCTTGCTATGGAGCATTATTTGGACCTCAATTATTCGGCCATGGCACAAGGGTGGAATCACATACTAGTTTTGGAAAAAAGGAAAGTCGACCATCTTTACCAAGGTAAATACACATAAAAATTCCATATAAATAATTTAAAATAAATTTTTTATTATTTATTTTAAGATAGTATATAATTTTGTTATTTTGTGTTCATTGCTTTAGTATTATAAACTTAAATTTAAAAAATCCAAGAAGTTCTATTTAAAATAAATTTAAAATCGTTATAGTTGAATGTTTCACTGAAGAAGATAAACATTTTATTATTTAGATAATTCATTATTTAAATAATTTCTTAAAAATAAATATCTTTTTAGATCGCATTTAGAATCCAAATTGAAAGTTTTTAATCAGTATTACGAAGGCAAAAGTGGAGGAATTCGAAGTCGTGAGGTATAAAGGCTTTTTGAAATATTTGTACATAGTTCTTATTGTAAAAAATATCTTTGTAAACAAATAGCAATTTAAAACAGGTTAATGGAAGATTGATACTAGAGGGTGCATTGAGAATTTATTGGGGAGTCCGTGGTGTAATTCATCTGAAGGAAGATGACGATCAGCGCACAGTAGTTACTGCACGAAATAGAAACTCGTGCAGGCACAGTGTTTCTGAGGTCTTTGTCATTTTTATTTGCGTTAAGGTTTGATAATAACATTCTATTCATTGCTTTTAATTATAATAGGATGTTGAAGACGAAGATAAGGCAGATGAGCTATCTAAGAGCACATTAGACAGCACTGTGGAGAATAATGCAAAGTCTGTTCCAACATCGCCCGATCATTTGAAGAGTCTCACTTTGCCTATGAAATTAGATGTCAAGAATATGGAATGGGACGAATTAGATGAACTCTTACAGGTTTTATTTTTAATATTTATATTTAATTGATTAAACAGAGTAAACCAGAGAAGTATGATTGCAGGTGGAACGAAAGGTTGAGGATGGTAATAAATTATATCAGACGATGCCTGAGAATCTTCCATCAATAAGTTCGCAATCTAGTGTGGATACGCCACCGCTCTCGTCTCAGTCGAGTCTCGATCGATCGGATTCCCGCGAAAATTCGGAAACGAGCAGCCCCAATCACCACATTACTAGTCGAGATAACGATAGTAGCTTAAATAGCACGCCAACGCACAGCATAGGTAGTTCTTCTAGTACAGATACTCCTGTCTGTAATTTAGGAGCTTCTAATCGAAATGGTACGCTTCGAAGAGTAGAATACTTCGACAACTTGGAGAAGAATCCCGGCAATAAGTCAATTAGTACCGACGATAGCTGGATCGAAAAGGGTTTGAATCGATCGTTGTCCGGTCCTGATTGTCTTCAGAGACATAGAACTGATAGTGACACGGATTCGGTGAATTCTTTGCAATTCAGAGAGGACGACAATATGACTATGTCTACAGACAGCGGATTAGAGGTATCATATCACAAATTTATTCTGTCAACTTCATAATTTTAAGTGCACATATGAATTTATTTTCTGGTTGCAGCTAGATGGTGTCGTTTTGCGTCGCAAACAAGGCTCCACTGCGATCAGACGACGTCCAGGCGGTAGACGTCAATCGCGAAGCCGATTACGACGTCGTTGCTCGATCAACGGCCACTTTTATAACCGAGAGACCAGTTTCTTCACGCCACCTCACGGGTCGCAGATGTCCGTTTGGGTAACGAGTCTAGTGAACACTCAGGAAGTTATTAATCTTATGTTGGACAAATATAAAGTCGATGCCAAGTCCGATAACTTTGCATTATTTGTAGTCCGCGACAATGGTGGTAAGAAAACTGCGATTCTCTAGAAAATTGACTTACGTGTGATTATATTTTTCTTCATTATATGCAATCTGTATTGTTTTCAAGAACAAAGAAGACTGAAGGATGACGAGTATCCTTTAGAAGTTCGAGTAATCTTGGGTCCTCATGAGAACGTTGCACGACTGTTTCTGGTCGATAAATTATCCACGCCTGAAATCAGTTCCGATGTTGCGCAGTTTCTTAATTTATCTGTAGCAGAATGCCATGGCATACTACAACGTTACCATTATGAAGAGGAACGTCAGATTCTCGTCTTAAAAGAAAAGTGAGTACATAACATTTGTCAATAAGAATCTCAATATTATAATAATTCGATATTTCAGATATAAAGAGATGCGAAAAAGAATAAAACAAAGAATGGAAGACCTAAAAGTTCGTTTATAGATAAAATGATGAATGAATGTCGCATGGATATTCACGCAATTATTTTTATAAGCGATTAAAAAATTTCTCTGTAGAAAAATGTTCATGTAGCAAGAATCTATAACTCGTACCATGCCGAATAGGTATGTATTGCAGTAACATGACACAATCTATGACATAAAGCATTTCTGAAATACTATTTACAATATACAACTGTATTTCAGTTTTATTTGTAGCTTAATGGGCTTTCTATATGGGCTTCTACAAGCTGTTACTTAAATTTTAATTCTTAAACCATAAGAAATTAACCAATCACAGTTGAATATGAGAGTAATCGATTATGATTTCTTATAGCCAATGTCTTATAGCTTAAGATTTAAAGTTTAGATAATGACTTATTGTAGAAAACCCATAATATTTCGTTATTATATTCTCCTTTATTTTAAATTTCTGTTGCATTTATTCTATAATTGTTATATATGGAATTATTATTAATAGTATACTTTAATATGGAGATCGAATCTCTAGTGATTTTATATCAAATTTTTGCATTTATCAGAGACGACGTTTTATGTATATGTGTATAAATATATATATATATATATATATATATATATATATATATTATATATATATATATGTATATAATAAACGTAATATGTGAAATATATTATTCTTATATTTCTGTTATACAATTAATTAAAATTATTAAAAAATTCAGGAATATTTTCAATTTATTTTGCATTGTAGGCAAGACCTACAATATTTTATTAAGAATTCAAACAATACTATAAATTACTAGTGCTGCAATGATTATTGCTTATAAAATTAGTTAAATTAATGAAGAATCAAGAAAAGATATATTTGATATTTTTCTGCATGGATGTTATTTATAATCACATAAAATTCTACTGTCACGATGGATAGAACATTGTGTTTTATCACAATTTTTCAGCATTCCGACATCTTGATGAAGTGATAAAAAAAATAATGAAAACATATTTTTCTATCGGTTTTTAAAGGAGATCTGTTTAATGAACGAGAAATCATTTATCGAATAGATGTCGATAATAACTGTTAAGAATTTAAAGTCTTCTATCCTTTGCATGTCAACGTGGCCCAGATATAAGTGGATATATATGCATTATGTATTCAGCCGTACACAATTGCTGTCAGATATACTCTGATAGCAATCCAAGACTATTGTTATGAAATAAATTACAGAGCGCAAAACAAATGCTGCACGCAACAATTAATCGTCAAATATTGTAACGCGCCGCGAATCTATGGAATCGCCGTTTCAAGCTAGTCATGTTTCACGCTTAGTCACTGATATCGATTGCATCCATCCCATTTTCATTTAAAGGCCAAAAGCAACATATACTGAGCCACGTTTACGTACATTACAAAATACGTTCTATATGCTCTCGATCTGCCAGTTTAGAATATTAAATTAACGAATGCGCCGCGACACGCATGAAGATATATATATATATATAATTTAGAATACCTATCAGAATTGTATATTAAAGGATTGTAATAATCTCCTAGATTGTAGGTGGCTTTTACTAGCAGTAAAAAGATATAATCCTTATAATCATATATTGATTAACAGAACACATCGCATTATTGTGACGTTAGAATAAGTTTATCATTTCACGCCAATTAATCGTTTTCTACTGCTGATAGATGAGCGAATACATATATAGGTATAAGTATGTATTTTTTCTATTATGCCGATTAGCCAGATAAAAATACTCCAAAATAACCATGACATATTGAGTGTGTTTTGCCCTAAAAAGGATAAAACTGAAAGTAAATATCTGAGCACGAAATATTGTAACAAATCCAATATGATTGACGTGTAATGTCGTTGACAGAATAATAAAGTGATATGGTTGCTTCTTTTATATCTTCGTTCTGTTTCCTCGATTTGAAAAATAAGAAATTTTTTAAAGAGACTCAGAGATTTAGTCTCTCTAACTCTTGAAGTATATATCGATTAATAATTCATGAGTGATTCTCATCTAGAATTACCCTTCATCTTTCTCGAAATGAATTCTTTCTATTAACCATTTGACATGCCATTCTGGGTGACGTATACCCAGCTTTCTTTTTCCAATGTTTCTTTTATTGCTTATAACTTGGTTGTTAATAAAGATACATACATTTGTTTGGTACTATTTTCTGTAATACCTGGTGTTTCGATTGAAAAACATGCTTTACCATACTTTAAAATCTTTGGAGTTGAATCTAATTCCAAAGAGTGACAAAGAAGACAATTAAGTCAGTGTTGAAAAAGAAAGAGTGGCACAATTCTCAATTTTTAAGAGTATTTTATTCTTTAGAGTTAGATTCCATTCCACAAAGAGGATATATTTAATTTTATGAAAGTTATAAGCAAACGAATTGGATTGGGTATGCCATGCCCAAATGTGGTTCCGTAGTGTGACACTAAAGAGTTAGGAATAGTGGGATATATATTGACGAGGGAAGAACAGACATCGACACAGACCTAAGTGAGATTGGACAGAATGTATTTATTTATCTTTAAAGTGTACGTAGAGTAAAGTAGATCAATGCAATCGTTATGAGTAGTATCGAATAGTAATTGTCATACGAGTTGCTAGGAACGAGTATGCATACCCACAACACCGAGGAGCTTCAGCCGCTCATTTTTTTTCTTATTTTTTGTTTGCACGACACTGATATACATTAAACGTTACAAGATAGCAATAACGATTATCACCGCGCCAGACGTTCCATTATCATCATCATCATCATCATCATCGTCGTCATCATCATCGTCGTCATCATTTCGTTATCTCACCATTTCATTATCATTGACGTTATCATAATTACCTTACAGCCACAGCTTTATTACATGACTTACAATTCTTTAGCATCTCGCGGTGGACACTGGATTCAACAACAACGTACTACATACACGCAGACGCTCGCACCCGCAGATTAAAAGTATCACAAAAAACGCGACGCGTAATTACGTAACTATAACGTAGTCCCGTTGTGAGATTCGTAGAATTAATTGATCCGCGATCGAATTGTTCGCCGAGTCAAGATATATCCACAGACATTTTCGTTCTATTTTTACGAATATTGAGTGTAAATTCGAGTTTTTATATACGCAGCCGGCGGAAGTTACGAATTTGTGATAGCTCGTCCAACAATGATAGTTATTGCGATCGTCCGGTTTCCACCGAATGTTTCAGTTTTTTTTTCGAGTTCGTAAAATTTTTATATCGAATTCAAAATGTCTACGAGCCTGTCAATCTGACGCGATTCTGTTTCGAGCGCGTTATTTATTAAACATCCTCTTTAGGAATATCCGGCGTGATAGTCCATTCGATATCGTAGAAAATTCCCATTTATAGCTAGAATAAAACTTGCAGTTTATACAATGCAGGTCGTGATAGTAGTAGTGGATTGCACGATTAACGATCGGCGAACACGAAATCTCGTGGCGGGTAACGATTTCTTTAGAACCCCCGTCGTCAAATATCTTCTGTGATCCAATGTAATTTTTATCTGTCTTGTTTTTTTTTCCAAGAATCATCAAATCAGCATAGCGTTTTGGTAAAATGTTTTATAATATAAAGAATTAAAAATTTTTTCATTACTTATATTCATGATTTATCTAATAAAGTAAATTTACTATAAATCGACTCCCCTTACAGAAAACCAATTTAATATATCGAAAATGATTTATTTTGAGCATAAAAGTATTGAACAACAGTCCCATGTAAAACACAAATCATGATGATGTCAAAATAACACCAAATGCTTATTATTAAAAATCTTTTAATCATTTACTTTAACGTTATTTTGATATTGTCTTTGCTTGAAGTGTTTTTAATATTTAAAATGAGAATCTTTTTCCAGTATTAATTTCTGTAAGGATTGTCTTTATACGACATATTTATATATATTTGTGATTTTCCGCAAGAATTTCTAAAATTTATATTTCCAACTATCAAGCCGTCAAAAAAAGAAATAGATAAACGTTTCTAATTTTATCTGTTCAAATTAATTACCATTTCTTCTATACCGTTTCCGCTTTACTATATTTACTATATTCGAGACTCGGCGAAGATTCGCATCGATTGGATAACAATAATTAATCGAGACAACATGCGAGCAACATTCTGCTGACAAGATTCTCGACAGCTTTAACAAACAAATGAGAAGGCAGCGTTCGTCTTTTTCCTAACATGGTACGATCATTATCTTTTCCAAGGCAAAATAAAAAATCGTCTCATAACTCTATGTGCTTCCCCATGTATAAAAAGTATCACTTCGTGCAAGTCTATCAGTCTAATTTTTAGCATATTAAAAATGATCTTCTCCGATACTTGTTGTTAAAAAGGAAAAAAATCCACAACGCGTCCCCGTGAGCTACTTAAAGTACTTGATCAAATTCTTATTGTATCCGATAATTTTGGCATGAGACAAGAAGCGGATGGAAAGTTCTCTCAGTTGGCGTATCGGACTTTAAGAAAGCTAAAGAACGCATTTTCTTTCCTCGCGCACAAGTTAAAGCCTTAACAAGCCTCATTCGCACTTATTTCGCTTCGGATGGGAAATAAAGGTAGGCTCGCCGAATCGTACATCTCGAAATTGTGCATCTGTTTCGCGCGGTGGTATTATATCAGGCACGCCGGTCCGTCGTCCACCCCCAAGACGACGTCGCGAACTCGATTATCACAATCTGCATGGCGTACATGAGCCTTACAAAAAATACAATACTTATGTGCTCGCGACTTTGTATGTATATCACAGGCGACCGGCGCGGCTTCGTCGCGCTAATCGCGCACCGTCACTACTTACGACCCGTCCAGCTGCGATTCCCACCCTCTGTACGTGGCAAACTGCGTACATTGTGTAGAGCGAGCGTGGAACTGGGACGGCGGAAGTCCGATTCGGCGGTCTCGTACGAAAAACGCTCCGCTATATATTATCCGCCTAGAATTCAAGTCGCAAAGTTCCAAAGTGCCAAGTCGAGGGATTTTAGTCGATTTCGTTGGTACAGCCATAGCTATACGGTTGCACTTTCAGAGAAAAGCAAAAGAGAGCCAAAAAGATCTCCTTTGGAAAAATGAAGACTTGCTGATGTAAGGCGGACAGTAGTTAGAGTGGACTTGATAAATCGTGAATTTATTAAGTGCCTTAGCTCTAAACATGTCTCACATGTAATTACTAACAATATAAGATATAAGTATAAACGAATCGCTTATTACATCGCAATGTAAAACTGTACAACCGCATAATTTTGCGAAAAATATTTTCTTTGGCACATTTGAGACTCTTCGGCTTCAATCGATCGTAATGAATATTAATTTATAATTGTGTCTCGCAATACGATTTTATCCGTATAAGAATCGAGCTGCCAAAACACTTGGGAAAGACATAGAACTCGTTGTACGTTGATGATGTATGTAAATGTGTCCGAAAGGGAAGCAAATGGAAATGGAAAGTACAGGAGATTCTATCCTGGTCGAATACATTATTCGCGCTTAAGTATTCGATGTGCTTTTTTCATCTTTCATTCGTACGCATTTTTCACTCTCATCCCTTCCCACAATCTTTCAATATCGCATTCTCTCCTTCTCTTTTATTCCTCGTTCTTCTCCATCTTTCTTTTCGTTCTATCGTTTCACCCCTCATTTTTCTCTCTGCCATTCATCCCCATTTATCCTCGTGTTCTCTCTCTCTCTCTCTCTCTCTCTCTCTCTCTCTCTCTCTCTCTCTTTCTCTCTATTTCTCTCGCTCAACAATAACAATTGAATATGAATTAGAAAAATAACATTATATCGTAGACAACAATTGATTACAATGTATATAATATATACCGGTAATAGAGTGGTGTGCTTGTTTCACACAATACTTTTATATTTCCCCGTTATTTAAAGCGTACCAATGACGTGGGGCGCCGCGCTATAATGGCTCATAAAACACTACAATTAATTCGTCGTCTCGTTTAGCTTGGTCGATCGATCGTCGATCACGGATCGGCGCTCGCGATGGGGATCGGATTCAGGTGGGAGAGAGATTCGCACTTTTGTACCAACGGCCGTTTATATTATATACGTAATATATATCGAACGCACACTTCTCGAGAACGTGGCTGCGCGATCTACGCGTCGCGATTGCACGATCGACTTTAATGGATGCATAAGACGGTACCAAAGGTATCGACTTAACGCATATGATCCGCTTTTATTTAGTACTACGCCGTAAAAAGCGTTGTGAGGAGATATACAAGAAAGAATCTCGTATCTTCTTACATATTTATGATTATCCTAATTATAATCTAAATATAGAAAACCGAACTGTATAAATCTTTAGTGAAATGAGCTATTTCTGACTGCACAGATTATTCTATTAATTGTTGGCCATTAAAAGAACTGACAATAAAACGCTGCAACGATTTCTTCGTAACGTTATTTTTTTTTCTTTTTTCTTTTTTCAAAACATACGAAGGCTAATGACAAAATTAATTTCTACGTAGGATTTAGTGACAAGGTCTCCTACAAAATAATTTGCATTATTCTTTCTTCTCGCTCCTTGCTTTGTCGTCGCTACGCGCACTTTCTCGTTTAAGTCACGACATGATTGTAAATCCCGTTACAGCTGCAGAGCGCGCGCACCAAAGGTTCGCGAGACATTGTTTTCACACGTTGCACCAAGTTCTCTTAATTAATTAGTTAGTTAGCCGAAGAGCCGGAGGGTCGCGGACGCGTTCTTCGCTTTTGCACGACAGCGCCCAGCGTCAATGGAGAATTCGTGGACAGATTTCGAGACGGCATACGATATTATTCTTGACTTCCTCTGTACTCCCTTTCCTTTCTTGCTCTACCTCTCCTTTTCTCTTTTTTTTTCCCTTCCTCTCTCA